AGTTCTACATAATTGAATAACAATTGGATCTAATTTTAGACATATAATACTACTACTACTACTACTAATAATAATAATAATAACAATAAAACTTTATTTATGGAGCACTTTTAAAACAGATGTCACAAAGTTCTTTTCAATAAAAATAAATTAAAAATGAAAACACAACAAGCACACAGAATACCTGATGAAAGTAGAAAGCACACAAATAAAGCAGGAGGCTATAAAACTTTAATAAAATCAGGAAACGCTCTCCGATGAATTATGCATTTATCACATTAACCTTGTCCATCATATGAGAAAAGAAAATATTTATCAGCCATTTAATGGGGAAAAAAAAAATCAATTTTTCTTTAAATGAAATTTTATGATTATTTAAAGTTACAGGTTTAAATTGTGTTTTCATTAAAACGTGTAAATTCACTGATTTTGTAAATTTGTCTTCTGTGTTTCAAAAATACTTAGCAAAAACAGAAAGGAAGGAAGGAAGGAAGGAAGGAAGGAAGAAGGAAAGAAAGAAGGAAAGAAAGTAGAAGGAAGGAAGGAAGGAAGGAAGAAAAGAAAGAAAAAGAAGGAAGGAAGGAAGGAAAGAAAGAAAGAAGGAAAGAAAGAAAGAAAGAAAGAAAGAAAGAAAGAAAGAAAGAAAGAATGAAAAAGAAAATATATACCAGGTTTTATTTTTTACTTAGAACCTTTTTTTAATGATATGTTCTGGTTATTCTGGGTTGTGAGCAGCAGGTGCATCAATGTGTTTGTGTTCCAGAAACACTGAAAGCTTGTGTAAAAACAAAGACGTGACTTTTAGTGCGGTTGTGTTTGCGGCCTGTCCGGGAGGACGGGGCGACTCTTCCCTCCACAGATCAGATTAGAGCTTAATCCCGAACCCACACTGTGCATGCGCAAACTCAAGTGCGTGCGTCGGCCGAGGGACGGCTCGGTGTTAATTCAACCGCAAACTGCCTTCATTCTCCACATCTGCTCTCCAGAAAGTGTCGCTGATGAAGTGAACGAGGTAAGGCGTCTTTTTAACGATGTCAGAACATCCGAACATTCGCGTCCGACTGGTGACCGTCAGCGGAGTTGGTGGTCCGGGTCCAGACTCCAGGATTAAAGCCGGCTGTCCCGTTAGAGCTGCGTTTAGCCCCAAACGACAAAGTAGAGAGTAATCTAAACCATACATACGGTCCGACCCTGAGAAAATCCGGTATAAGGGAAACAGAACCGCGGGACGGTCCGGGCTACAATGCGCTCTTGTTGCGCGCCGTGTGGATAATTGGTCCGTGCGCTGACCCACTTGGCAGATGGAGCTCCGGGTCGTTCATATTCAAGTCACAACGCAGCTCCACAAGGAAACTAATTTAACCAACTTTCAGATGCACCTGAGAACATTTTCCTCTCTTGTCTTCCTCCTGATGGCAGCTCGGAGGAATGTGGCCGCGCAGCTCCGCAGACTGGTTTCTGTTGGCAGCGTTTGGATCAATGCGTGTGCCACCGGGGAGAGAGCTGTCCACGCTTTTAGGACTTAAAAGTACAAGTTGAAGTTATTATTATTATGCAGGAGAACACAGTTGTGGAGTTTCTATAATCAAGACAAACGTAGCCAGTACTTCAGTGGCCCTTGGTAAAGCCCACGTTATGCCTGTTTGACACGCTGCACATAGTTTACTGTGGACCGTGCTGTGCATAGTTTAATCATCAGTGACATCCCATATCTCATCAACCATCCAGCCATCATAAATAAGGGAGTAAATGTGCAGCATTGAGCGTTGCAATGCAGCGGAGAAAAAGTCCACAGCAGCATAAAAGAACATTCTGTACTTTTATTCAGTTCATGAGTCTTTGCTTGCATCCCAGTGAGGCCCTCAGTCACCACCTGTAGCCTGTTTACATGATGCAAACAGTGGAAAACTGCAAGGCCCTATTGTGCCTCCTGTTCCACAAATTAATGGAAAACTTTTATCCATCCGTCCTCTATGCACCACTTAATCCTCACTAGGGTCATGGGGGGCTGGAGTCTATCCCAAGTGACACCCTGGACAGGTAACCAGTCTATCACAGGGCTACACTTAGAGACAGACAACCAAGCACACTCACATTCACACCTACAGACAATTTAGAATCACCAATTAACCTCAGCATGTTTCTGGACTGTGTGGGAGGAAGCCGGAGAACCCGGAGAGAACCCACGCTGCCCGGGTGTCCTCACCAGGATGCGAACCGGCGACCTTCTTATTGTGAGGCAACAGTGCTAACCACTGACCCACCGTGCAGTCCTACTTTTCAATAATTCAGCTCAAAATCTTGTATAACTGGTCTTGTTCTAAGCAGACTGTTTTAGTGTCCACGCCCCCTTCAGGAAGAAAACCTTCTCTGTCTGTGACGGAGCAAAACAGCTGAGTTGACACAAGAACCATCTTCCATCTCACTTTCTGAGCCGTCATTTCATTTGTATGAAAACATCCCAGAATTCACTGCACAGCCGTTGTTTTTATCTCATGTGTTTGGTGAGATTGGAAAAGAAGTGACTGCTGGTTCACACAGCGCTTCTCAAACTGTTAGAGCCACGACCCCCAAGATAACAGAAGTTTATGTTCGGGACCCCCCAGTTTGAGTTTTTAATAGCTTTGTCGTTGATGCATTAATGAATGTGTTAACTCCACAGATTAATCTCTTTACATTAACACGTTCATTTTCTTTTGATTGAATGAATGAATTTACTTTAGTTTTGAACAAATGAAAGTGAAAAAATATAAAAACAAAAGAAAATCATTTTAAAAAGAGCAAATAATAATAATATCGCATCATCAAATCACAATATTATCAAGTTCAAAAAAGGAGTGGGAAGAAGTTTACACTTTTAATTTTAACAGCCCTAATACCAATTTATTTGACAAATGTGAGCTTTATGTTTGTTTTTTTTTAAAAATGATCTGGCGACACCCTGAAATTATCTTGGGACTCCCATGGGGGTCCCGACCCCCAGTTTGAGAACCACTGGGTTAACATATAGTGTTAATGGGCTTCATTTCACAGTCACTGTTTCATCCTCATTCTATTGTCTGACAACAGAAACAGATCAGGATGTAAATGAGAACAGCCGTATGTGTTTCAATGTGCTGGATGTGAGCACAGAGAGCAGGANCTCATTCTATTGTCTGACAACAGAAACAGATCAGGATGTAAATGAGAACAGCCGTATGTGTTTCAATGTGCTGGATGTGAGCACAGAGAGCAGGAGAGAAGTAAACAAATGTAAACACAACAGATGACACTAAAACCCACCCAGTGTTTGTGTCGTGGTTTTAAATCACCTCCACCATCTCTGACCAATCAAAGCTAAATGTTAGCCACATTAGCCACACGACGCTCCAACACTGAGGACAATAAAAATAGTTTTTCACCGTATGGGACCTTTAAAGTCGTTGCTACAGGCTTCTTACTTTGGCTGAGCCGCCACTTACTTCTGAAATGATTAATTTAAATGAGTTGTAGGCTTTCTGAATTTATTGACCCACTTTTTGGTGACAGAGTTTTGTCTGAAATATGCAGTTTTACTGCCACACACAGTAAAATGTAGTTATCACAGGATTGCACAGGATTAAACTCTTTATCTTGTCCCACATTTTAATATAATCGTATGACTCCTGGCATCAGATAACAAAGATTAATCTTTTGTTTTTCTATTTGCAAAGCCAATATGGGCCAGATGTTGAATATATTATTTTTAAATGCCTGAAAATAAACAGATGCCACCGTCTAAAGCCCATTTTCAATTTTTGTAAACTGAATAATAACAGAAATACAACTACACTTTGGTATACTACACAAAAGACTTTCTTTTGTTTGTATTTCTCAACACGGAGCTCAGTTAGAGGTGGAGCGCTTCATATTGCAATAAAGAACGGCATCGACTACAAATGTGGGAGGAGAAAACAACGCTGCTGCTCGTGGATCAGAGGGTTAAACATATCAGCTGCTGTGTGTCTTTAAACATGTTGTGATTTCAAACTGTCTTGCAGCTCCTGAGGATTTCGTGGTTTACCTGCTCAACACACCGAAAACAGACCTGCTGCTCTTTTGGGCCAGAATTCTTTACATTTCCTCAGACATTCACAAATCATGCACATTTGCACATACCGCTGCTGCTGTCCCCTCTCAGGGCCGGACGTACACCCGAACTAGCTCATGGACAGGAAGTGTGACATGTCAGTGCCTGCATCGAGGACAGGATGTCTAAATGTGAGCTGATCGAGCTGAAGGACCTCAGTGTGAATGATCCCATTGAGCTGGCTGCTCCGACCATCCACGTGGCCCCTCCGCCTGTAAACCCGGGTCACCCCAGCCCCTACCATGTGGTCCGTCTGGTGGGAGACAGCGTCAGCATTGAGGCGCATCACGCCGGAGAGGCCGGCGTGGGCCACGACTTCCAGCCCTACAGTCACACACACCTGACCTGGTGTGACCTGTGTGGAGAATTCATCTGGGGTCTCTATAAGCAGAGTCTACGCTGTGCCAGTGAGTACCTCCTGCATGTGGATACGTCTGGTTAGCTTATACCTACAATTTATAAAAAATAAATGTTTCTCACTGTAATTTTTTTACCGTTATTTTTGCAGATTTTCCTTTTTTTTCCCTTATTAAAAAAAATGATGTTACAAATAATTAATAGTAAAATTACAGATTTTTAAAATTTTTTTTTTTTTTAAAAGGCCAAAACTATGAATAATTTCAAAAAAGGTTTTTTATCAACATTGGACTGTAAAAATTATTATAATTTTTTAGATTTAAGTCAGAAAAACATATTTGCCATTACTACAGAAAAACCATGTAAATAAAGGAGGGAAAATGGTAAATAATTGTTTATCTGTCATTTTACAGATTTTCCTATTTAAAAAAAAAAAAGAAAGAAAAAAGTTGCAGATAATTAATAGTAAAATTACAGATTAAAAAAAAAAATACAGGCCAAAACTGTGTATAATGGCCATTATATTGGACTGTAAAAAATCTTATAATTTTTTAAATATTTAAATCAGGAAAAAATATTTGTGATTGCTAAAAGAAAAACCATGTAAATAAAGGAGGGGAAAATGGTAAATAATTGTTTATCTGCTATTTTACAGATTTCATAATTCTTAATTAGAAATAATGTCGAATAAAATCACAGAGAAAAGTGTTAATTTTCATGTTCTGTGTAAAAAAAAAAAAAACTGTAAATAATGTCCACATCAAAATGTATTTTTACAAATCATATTTTTTTCTTTTATGATGTGTGACCATAAAATTACTGTTTTATTGTATTTAAATCAGCCAAAATATAATTATTTTACTGACATTGCAGGCATTTGAAATGGTTTTACAGTTTTTGAACATCACAGTAATCCCTTGTTTTTCCAACAAATTTTTTCAGGCACCCTTGCTGTCAGATTCTCAGATCTTAAATTTTTAATTTTAAAGACCAAAACAAGCAAATAAACGATTCTGTTAACGCAGTTCAAGTAAAGCCTGACGATGAATATTGTTTTTTTTCTGTGTCACAGACCTCCGTTATTGACTAAAAAACTATTAGAAGCACATTTATCAAGCGTGCCGATGCTCATCAGGAAAAACTGTATTTCTGAGTCAGTCCCTCATTCGCTGTCGTGCTGCAGTCGATACGTAGAAAGAACCAAATCCACAACACGTGCATCGTCGACTCCTGAACACTGCAGGGCTGGACTGTTTCAATCAATCTTTGTTAAAGATAAAAGTAGATGCTTATTGGAAAGATTCAAGGTTTTATAAGAAACAAATGGGCGTAGAGTCACAGACAGGATGGAAAGGTGGAAAGAATCAAGAGACATGTTGTTGGTTTGGACCTTTCTGTTTCTGTTTTTGTGAAAATAAAAAAAATGTATTTTTTAAGTTGACAATATAAACTAATGTGGTTGCCAGTTTGAGGTTTACTAATTCATCTAATTAAAACCTCACATGAAATTCGTCACTTTAGAAGAAACAGCATGAAGCTAAAGCCTGAATCAGCTCCAGGATTCCACAACAACTAAGTCGTGTCCGTGGAAATCTCACAGAGCTGTAATATCGCCTTCGCTTTCCAGCTTCCAGGTTCTCCTGAATGTCGTGTTCTCATGTTAGTTTTTCCATTCCTGAGGAGCTTTATCACACAGGAGGAAGCTCTGGCTAGCATCGTGTTTTCACTCCTCTGTGGTACAGATAAGGCCTGGGCAGCTCCTCTGACTTCAACACTTCAAGACAACGACTACTGAAGCAATTAGAAGCGACCAGGAGACAGAGCGATGATGCTCAGCGAGAGATTACTGAATAAAAACGAGACACCAGAGCTCTTTACAGCTGCTCCGTCTGATGGTTTCTCTCTGCCTCTCTCTCAGACTGCAGTTACACTTGCCACTACCGCTGCCGGCCGTTCATCCAGCTGGACTGCAGCACGGATGGAAGTTTGTTCGCCGAGCAAGTAGATGACGCCGTGGAGACCGACACAAACGTGGTAAAGAAAAAAGCTGCACACGTCCCAGCACCAGAGAGCAGCAGCTGGTTTCTAATAGAAATCTAAATAAAGTGTTCATACGGTGTGGGTTAGTAGGTCAGGTGTGCAAAGGAGTTCTGTCCTGAATCACTTTGGTTCATTTCACAAGATCTGTTCAAAAGATTTGTGCATTGAATCATTCAGAGCTTCCGACTGCAAACTCCCAATCTGAATAATGCATATTCCTCAAGATCCCCGACTTCCAGAAACCAAAAAATGCTGTCTCTCTTCAGAAACCATTAAAAACACCCTTTTCAGGATGTCTAAATGTGAGCTGATTGAGCTGAAGGACCTCAGTGTGAATGATCAGCTCATCATCAAGCTCTGCAGAAGCCTGATAACGATCCTGGTCATGTGAATCAGGTGTGTTGGAAGAGGGAAACATCTAAAACATGCAGGATTATGGCCCTCCAGGACCAGGATTGGACACCCCTGTTCTAGGTGGTTTCCTCGCTACATCGTTTTTAATGGCTTTTAATAATCATATGAATACATTTATTTTGTGTTGCGCTTTTCAAGATACTCAAAGTCGCTAAACAGGGTAAAAGATAAAAACAGCAACAGAACAAGTTGAACAAAAGTTTTCAAAAGAGACTTGAATGTGTGGAGGTCAGAGCCGATGGGAGATGGAGCTCCAGCAGCAGAAGAGGCTCTGGCCCCCCAGGTTCGGTGCTCGGTCCTCGGTGGTGGGGCGAGGAGGTGATCAGAGGAAGATGGAAGGCTGTAGGAAGGGGTGTGGAGCAGGTCTGTGAGGTCGGAGGAGGCCTGATGATGGAGGATGAGGAGGAGGATCTTGAATGTGTTGTTTGACAGGGAGCCAGTGGAGATGTTGGAGGACGGGGCTGATCATGTGAGCGGGTGTAGGTGAGGAGACGGGCGGCAGAGTTCTGAATAAGCTGAAGCTTTTAGCCTTTTTAGCTGATCCCCAGGTCGACGTTACTCCTGAACTTGCTGGGCCTCAGACTGTCACTCAGCGCTCGTTGTGTTGTGTTCTGTGAGTGATTCATTGAACATCCATCGTTCCCTCACAGTGAGACGATCTCATGCAGTCTTCAGACAGTCTTTTTTTTTTTTAGGGAACTCAATCACTCCATGACAGTGACAGACTAATGAATCAATTGGCTGATGTCCACTTTCAGGTTTTATGGTGGCCTGAACCTTTGTGCATGTCCCAACCACAGGAATCGGCCCGTTGATCCTCTTTTAGTAGCTAATCCTGCTGTGATGGACTCCATGCTGATTGGTTATAAACCTGGAGAACACCAGGTGCCATTGTTCTGCTCTCTCAGTCTCTACATCAGTCTTCAATGTAAAATTCACAACATTGGCAATAAAAATTCAGACTAAACCCTCCACATGCCCATAGACGTGGCGTTGTGTCCAGTAGCTGTCGTTGTTTTGGCACATTTCGAGTTAAGGTTGTGGTCGTGTAACCGGTGGCCTCTCCGCTGCGTTGTGTGATGAAACGCAGGCGATCTCCGTTTATTGAAACTTGACAGGCGATAAAAAAACGTACACAAAATCCGCTGTCGGTTCTCGACTTGTACAAGCTACAGAAACTAAATGATAGTACAGCATATTAGAACCGGGAAAGTAAATTTATGAGTGAAATGATGCACATTAGACAGATAACAGCAGCACAGTCTGGCTTACCTCTCCCACAGAATATGTGAACAAAAGGGGAGCGTTAAGGTGGGAAAAACCCATCTACAGGGCGACCAAAAGCGTAGCACTGGGACCCCCAAGTGATGGTTCCACACCATAACCAAAAATGAAAGTAATAACAACAAAATGACAGTAAATTAAAATATATACGGTCATCATGTATAACCACTAAAACAATACATATATTAATATAAAACCGCTGCTGCACCACTGACCCTGTTACAGTCGGAGCTGTCGGATGCTACAACATCGTCTGAAAGGCTCATTTATGGGTCTTTCCTATAAACATTCGTGCCATCTCGTGCCCGCCTCAACTTCCTGCAGTGGAGAGTTGCCAAATGAATGAGCGACTCAGTACATCACTGCATATTCCTTCACAAGTGACAGAGCTCCACAAATGAACCGATCATTTTCTGAAGTGATTCTGTTCAGTTTCTTACGAGCAAACGGTTCCCTGAGCGACGCAACGCTCGTCAAAGCAGATGGAGGCGACCAGATTGCCCGCTGCTGTCCACCGTGTATCATTGTGCCATATGTCCTCAGAACTACCGGCTTTATTACCTACTCATTGTCGAGGAGAGTAATTCAGGGGAGAGCTGAGGGAGGGGGGGAGATGACCCGACTGGTTTAAACAATAAAACAGCTGCCCTTATTTCAGATCCACAGAAAAAAAACTCTGCTGAGGTCCACCGATCAGCGGAGCTTCTTACATAATTAAAGGATTGCTCTGTTGTTTTAGCAGTCCAAACATTGTTAACGGGCTTAGGCTTGAGTTGGGATTATTTTGTCACACTGCTGTTTATGATTCATTTACTATCGTGCACCAACCAACCAACCAACCAACCAACCAACCAACCTACCCACCACTTTAATGTGGTAAAAGCACTGGTTCACCTTCTGCACCAGAGAGCCGATGTGCCAAAAACTAGGCTCACAAATCACACTTTTGATCAGACATTTATTGATTTTTTTATTTTGCAAATGATGCTTTTTCCAGCACAACTCAAACAGCGAGAGATTGATTTTTAAGAGGTTACAGGACATCAAGTGTGACATCTGAAGGTGTAAATGTTCACATAGTTGGAGCCCTCAGGGAAGCTGCAGCTTTATCATGAATCCATGAGAAATAAAGCCACTGGAGGGGCTGTGATGTGGACAGTTAGATGTTGTACACGTTGAAGAAAAGTAAGAGTCTTTGAGGTTAATAATAACATCAGGAGAAAGCTGCTGGTAGGACAATTGGAGCAGTGGGAGTGGGCTGGCCCTGCACGTGTCTTTGTGAGGTTTTATTGTCAGGGAGGAGCAAATTTAAATGCAGAGGTCAAAAAGAGCTTTCAGAAACAGAGGAGAGCGATTTGTGACTCGTAACAGTGACGACACAAGTCTGAAAAAGCGTGCCGAGTTCCCAGAGCCGATGAGATGACTTGGGGAAGCACAGCGAGTGGCTCGTCCTTCAGCCGGGACGACAGCAGCTCAGAGCTGGAGCTGTATTTCACTGCTTGCACGTCTTTCTTTCACAAGGTTGCAGCGGTGAGGTTTAAAGTCAGCTCAGTGAATTGTGTTCATTTATGCATGTGTTTATTTTCTTGCTGCAGACAAAGAGCTTGAATTGATTCGACTTTTGTTTCCGTTCATCAGTGTTGTGTCGCTCTCCGTCCTTAAAGCCCGGTTGTGAAGCTTAGTGTGTACCTGACTGGTGTTCTGATCGTTTCAGGATGAGAAGATCGAGTTGGGTAAACAGGAGTTGGGTGCTGCTGAGATTCAACAGAGAGTCAAGGAGTACAACGCTCAGATCAACAGCAGCCTCTACATGGTGGACGTGAGTGGCTCATAAAACTCTGTACATTAGGAAGTGATCACGTGCAGACTTTGCTGGCCTTGCATGGCACCCTCTCACTCTCTCATGGTTTATATCTTGCAGAATAAAGACGGCTCCTACACTGGCTTCATCAAGGTCCACTTCCAGCTGCTCCGTCCCATCTCCCTCCCTCCTCCTCAGAGCTCGACACAGGAGGACGACCAGCAGGGCAGACGCATGAGACGGCGGACGTCTTTCTACCTCCCCAAAGACGCTGCCAAGCACCTGCACATCAGCTCCGAGACGAGGGTGCGAGAGGTGATCGAGGCGCTGCTCAACAAGTTCACCGTGGTGGACAATCCGGCAAAGTTCGCCTTGTTCGAGCGCACGGAGAGACAAAGTCAAGGTGGGAGGCTTGGTATCGTGTTATTAGAAGAAGACATACAGTCGTCCTCAAATGTATTCGTCCCCGTACGTTAAAGAAAAGGCAAAATTCACAATAAAATAACCAGAAACTGAAAAAAGTAATAATAAATAAAAATTTGCTGAATTATAATTTAGTGAAATAAGATGTTGCTTTTGAATTGTGGTTGAAAAGAATGATTTAAAAAACAAACAAAATCAGAATACCTGTCAACAGGTGCAGAAGTCTGACCGAGAGTTACAGAAAACACCTGATTGCAGTGATTGGCTCAAAGAGTTGTTCAACTAAATATTAGCTTACGGGTCCCATCATGCTTTTTTTTTAAACGATATATCTGTTGAACAACAATTCAAAAGCAATGTCTTGATTTTCATTCAATTTTTATTTATCATTACTTTTGTCAATTTCAACTTATTTCAGTGACTGAAGCTGTTTCTTTCCTTCTTTAATGGGAGGATATGAATAAACTAAAGGACGACTGTAACAGAAATGAATCCTGAAGCTGTGATTCTTCTTCTTCCAGTGTACATGCGTAAACTGTCCGATGATGAACGTCCTCTTTATCTGCGCTTGTGTGCTGGACCCAATGAAGCGGTGTTGAGTCTGGTTTTGAAGGAGAATGAAACAGGGGAAGTAAATGTAAGTTTCCATTTTGCTCTGGAAAAAAACAACACATGCACTGCATATATTGCTGCTTGACAGTATAATTTGTCTCCTCCACAGTGGGATGCATTCAGCTTTCCTGAGCTGTGCAACTTCCTGCGAATCCTGCAGCGTGAGGAAGAGGAGCACGTACGGCAGATCGTGAAGCGCTACGCTCTGGCTAGAGACCGGATGAAGCAGGAGATGGCTCGGATAACTACCCCTGGTTGACGCCGAGACGATCTCACATTTGAACATTAAAAAAAAACCTTCTGCCTTGAAAAATATCACAGATCAATAGTAAAACTGACAGCAATGTATAAGGGAAGGAAAGAGCTCAGGCAAATTGAATCTAGGTTGTTAACATAGCAGGGATGCTGCTGCTACATTTAATGTGAACTACCTAAAGGAGCAGCTCGTGTTGCTTTGAACTGGATCGGCACAACACATAACGGGTTCTAATTTGTTTAGAAACCATGCTGCTTGATTAGATTATTTATAGTGATATTAAAGAAACATTTTTAGGTTTTTCTTGTAATTTATCGGGTTTATCCTCTGGTCATTTTGTGTGATATTTAGGTTTCTGTATTGTTTTATAATAAACATTTGGCACTTTAATAAACCTGTGAAATTGAGTCAGGCAAGTTAAAATGTGTTAATCTAATAAACAATGATAACAAATTGTGGTCATGTCATTTCTATGATGATTCTCAACTGAATGTAAAAGATAAAGTACATTATGCAGACAAAGGTAAGTGAACACGTACATGTGATTGCAGAACATCTCATTCAAAACTATGAGCTTTTTTGTGCTCCTATAACAGCCTCATGAAGGACTTTCCTCCTGATTTAGGAACCTGGTTGCAGGGATTTGCTTCTGTTCAGCCACAAGAGGATTTATGAGGTCAGCCAGTGGTGTTGGGCAATACGACCTGACATTCATACTGAGCAAAAATATAAACATAGCATACAAGTGGTATTTTTTTTTTCTCACTTTAAAATATATATACAGTATATATTTCCTGATACTAAGGAAATGTATGTTAACTTCTGACTTTGATTAAAGTGATAACAAAAAAATTATGTAAAAAAATATCTCTCTCATTATTCTGGCGTTTAGCAAATAGAAATAATTTTGGTAATCCTGTCTGACCTAAAACAGGAAAAGTTTTGTCACATTTAATGTCATATAGTGAGAAAAAAAAAGATTATATTTCTTTTTTTCCTAGTCTTGCTAAAGGCGGTGCAGTTCTCCTCCTGTCCGTGTGGTGTCGCTGCCTCACCGCTATGTTTCTGTGGCAACCCTGAAAAGGAAAAACGCCGAAGAAGAACGTAGGTTAGCATAAACAGCTAGCGTAGCTGTATGTGTTATGAGGTCTTTGCTTGTCCAGAATTAGCAGCCCACCAAGACAAATTCATCAAAGAAATTTCGGTACCTGCGAACCCACCGGCTCCCGCTTTAGGTACGTTTCTAACTCAGCCGAAGCGACAGTCGCTGGTTATCGCAGCAGCTAACGTTAGCCGCTGGCAGCGTCCGTGAACGTTATTTTGTGTAGAAACGTGTTGACCTGGCTAATGCTAGTAACAGAGTGCTAATTGTCTTTAGCTAGTGGTGATGTTAGCAGCCCAGGACATAAAGTGACATTAAAGCTACAGTAACCAAACAGCACCGGTTTGTGATTAGTGCTGTCGGGCATGGCTAGCTAGCCAAGTTAGTTGCCACGTCTAGATGCCGTTTTGGAGTCTTCTGGACTCTCGGCAGGAGCTGACTCATGTTTGTCGTGTATTTTTTGTAAATTTAAAATGCCATTTTTATGATCTGTGCACGGCGTGTAGTAGGAAGGTGGCTAGGTATGGGACGTAGGCATCGCTGTGCTAATGTTGCACTGTCATGTCACTGGCCTGCTTTTTGTGACATATGGGCAAAGGACACAAGACTGAGATTATATCATACCTGGACTCTAGGTCTTATCCATAAACAGGACACCAGTAAAGATAAATGGCTATAAAACAAGGTGTAATTTTAATATATAGACATTTTGTGTTGTAAAGCCTGTTTTTTTTAATATTATTATTAATGACCCTGTCTGTGGTACTACTTTTCTTGCTCAGAGAAAACTGAGATTTTAAGAGCTGCTGTAAATGTCTACCTTATTTCTCCCTTACTCTGTCTTAAAATAAGAAAAAAATAATAATCATGCTTGTGTCATAACACATTGTCTGAAATGATCCAACTCCTCCCTTCATTTGTCATTTCTAACAGGTGTCACTTCCTGAAGGTCACGTTTCATTTGGCACAGTAACGCTGTAGCACCGCTGGCATCCCTGTGACCCGAGAAAATAATGTGCTGCAGCTGAAGATGGGGGGTAGCGGCTCCAAATCCAAAGGATTTTGGCCTTTTTCTGGCTCAGGTAGTGTGGATGATCCAACCAAAGATGGAAACGAGCAGTCACTGGCAAGAGTTCGAAGTTTCCCGGGCGCAACACCGTTTGTGTTTACCAGACGAAGGTAAATATAGCATCAGCGTTGATGACAGCAGACCGATGCACTGAGATGTTCTAATAATCGTGTTGCGTCTTTATTGCACATATAGATTTCCCTTTCCTCTTGTGTAAATAAAAGCAAACATTTATTGAGTCGTGAGTGTGGAGTTTGTAACTTGGAGATCAGTTTGAGGCTCCTTTGCATCCAGAATGTGCCTCAGAAAAACAGCTTCATGTTCCAGCAGATGTGGCACAAGCAGTAAATGCTTCAAACATTCTGACCCAACCTCAGCTGAAAGGGGATTCTACATATAACAAAGATGTTGGAGTAATCAAATGTGAACGATGTTGAATGTGGTGATATATAGTCTGCTTATTAAAAAAAACATTTCACAAAGACTGGTCATCAAGAGATGGATCTGTTTGCACAAAAAATATTGCCAGAGTTTCACATTCGGCCAGAGTTTCACATTCGGCCAGGATTGTTGACACAGCGCCATAAAGTCGTGCTGTTTGCACAACAATTCGAACTCATCCACCTGCTTCATTATAGTATAAACCACATCGGGTGACGTCTGTTCATTCAATTTCCACGACAATGAGTCCACTTTATCTTCATTCTGCTCGTCTTTATTTATCCGTAGTCTTCTGCTGCGGTAGCAGATTTGTCTTAACTGCCCTGTTATACGCCGCTTTTGCACCGAGCTGTTATTTGCTTACCCTACTCCCTTGACCTTTGAAAACAAGCAGTTCTACCCTCAGAAGGACAGCTGACTCGGTGTTGTTTTGGCCGCCGACGTTTTACAGAAACTACACACTATAAAGCATAATGTTCCCAAGAGCTGGGCGGAGGTTTAAAGGCAGAATCAGCAGTACGAATCCAATACAGCCTTTGGTTTAAACTCAGTGAATATCTCCTGATGGTTTACTTCAATGCATGTGCTGAAAAAAAAATCTGGTGTTTGTACACAAATGGGAAATAAAGTTTGTGTTCGTTCATAGGACAGGGAGAGAGGGAAAGGGAGGGCAGATGGGCACCAAGAGGCATGATAACAAGATGAATATACGAACTAAATAAATATCAGTGTTGCTCCAGAACAACAGACTCCATTTTTAACTGTTTTTTTTTTTTTTTTAAATGCTTGACATCATTTAAGTTTTCTCGTTGACACTTATTGTGTAGCACAAAATGCAGCATGTACACAGGTAACACACTGAACAAACATATAGATGCAGCACATGGTCTTCTTTACTGACTTAAAGAGAAAATGGACGTGTCTGAAAACGTGATCATGTCCACCAATGTCTCCCTTCAGCAAGAGTGGGACAACATTTCACAAACAGCATCGACAACCTCGTGAACTCTGTGCAGTGCAGGTGGACAGACTTGTTCATGACTTGTGATTTCTGGTCAACCTGCCCATTGTCGTTTGCATAATCGTGTGTATTTGATGGTGAATTATGTCCACTCTGCATTTGACATGTCGTGTGATTGAACAGCAAATACTTAATGAAGCCTCACATACTGTGTTGATATTTTTGTTAGCTATATTTTCTATTCACTAGATTGGATAACTGAAGAATCTTCTGTTCATAATTGATTTTGTCTCTCTGCTGCAGCTCTCTGTTCTTTGATGAAGACGGCGACTTGGCCCACGAGTTCTATGAAGAGACAATTGTGACAAAAAATGGCCGTAAAAGAGCCAAGCTGAAAAGAATTCAAAAGAACTTAACACCTCAGGTGAGGAAGTTGCTATCCTGATCTATGACTTTACTTAACAGGCTGTCCCGTCATCAGTCTGAATCATTCTCATTTCTTTGCATCCTTCCAGGGAATTATAAAGCTGGACCACCCGTGCATCCATGTAGATTTCCCAGTCGTCCTCTGTGAAGCCTGACAATGTCTGAGGAGCGTCTCAGACTCGCCACTGTGTCAACTCCGTCCTGTGGTTTCCCCTGCAGATGGAAGCCCGAACCACCTTTTAAAATAACATGATCTCTTGATATATTTGATGCCCTTATGTGGACAGGCCGACGCATTGTGTGCTGAGCCTCTGCATGTGATCTGTTTTTGGCTTGTGTGCTGTTAGACACAGAATAGGTCACCAGTGGGGATCTAGAGGGGTGCCACGCTGGCTCAACCTACTCCGTTTACAGATCATGGTTTGTGTGCATGTCAGTGTGAATGTGTGTGCAGACGTGGGATGAAACATGAACTTTTTGCTGCAGATTGTTTTTCTGGTATGATTCGCTGAACTCGAGGAGTTGAAGGAGAATGAAACCAGTTCTTCCCTCTGTCGTGGTCTCACCTGAAGCGGGAGAGTTGTCAGTGCACACTTTTGTTTCTTGACACCATTATGACTTGCTTTATTATGCATGGAACAGGATCTGCTTATGAGTAATAGCCTAGGGAGTTGACAATCAGTGGCCCACCAACTCGTAAGTGGATTATCAATGTCATATTACTATCATCATCATCATCATCGTTTTGGAAGGACTGGCTTCAGTGACCTCAGAGCCGCACATGTACACAGCAGCAGTGAGTCTAATAAGAGATCCTGTTGTTTTCGTTGCTGCTTTGGCATACTATGTTTCACATTTAATTTATTATAACTGTTTTTTTAATTACAACCGTGTCATGTTCCTGTTTTATATCCATACGTCCAACAGCATATTAAAGTGCATTTACTTCAGAAGCCTTGAATATTCGCAAGGAAGGCAAACTTATGGACATATTTCATAATTGTTGCTTATAAAAGCTCCTGTAAAAACAAGTCTGGGTTTTACATATGCAGGTGAAAAGGCTGAAATAGAACACAGTGGTCGTGTTTCGGCAAACTAAAGGTAGTGTACGACGATGTTTTGATATGGCAGCCACATCTGGACACATCAGCGTGGTTGGGTCGAGGGATTTTAACCTGCACGATACAAAATCATCTCTAAAAAGTCGCCTTGAGGCAGCTTTGACTCATGATGTCGTTAGTGAAATCTGCCGTCTGGCCCTGATGGACACTAAACTTTGCTGAGTGATTTTAATAAAAGACATTGTGATGACAGTAGGATTTATTCACATCAAACAGCCGTGTTATTTAAAAAAGAAAACAAAACTTCAGGTTCCTATGAAAGGTGCACCAAAGTTAAGTTTGGACCAATGTTGCTGATAAATCTGACTTTTCTGTGTGATAAAACCTGCATCTGGAGTTCTAGCCACGAGATAACCAGTAATTCTAAACTGACATGAAATAACAAGAGCAACACAGCGGTCAGATGTAGCTTGAGCCTTTATATAACAGTTATTGGCGAGCTTACGAGAGCTATTTGTCAGATAATCTTTTATAATAACAGAGTTTATTGTCTTGGCGAAGGTTTGAAACAGTAAAATGAACTGACGAAACCTGTTGTGGAAAACATGCTCCACCTGCAGAGGAAATTGCAAACTGTTTGGAGGCGACGTGTGCATATAAGCGTCTGCTAACGAGGTATGGATTAAGCTGGAAGACTAGTGACGGCCATCAATGCATGGGAAAGGGTTTTCTACAAAGCTGTCTGATATTGCTCTTCTTAGAGGATAAAAATGGTCTGTGCCAAAATCCACTCCACTTTATTGCTTCTATGAAATGATTTTTACTCTACACAAGTGTGTTTTTACCTCTGGGCAACTTTTCAGCCGAGTCTGGAGGAGGCACGGCCAACCATTACTTTGTGTTGTTTATTTTCACAAAGCTGAAATAATATGCAAAGCCATGAGGTGAATTGCAGTGTTGGGGTTAAGAAATTTGACTCCACAAACCACCAACCCTGAGGCCTCGCTGGCAAAAGTCTGGGCGCATTTTGAAGACGTGAAATTGCCAAAAAGGCGTTATTCACAGGCCCTGCTGCCATTGTTTCTCTTATCAGTAAAAGGAATGTGTCTCACGATCCTTCGACTTTCAAACACGCCACATCTGACAGTCTTTTACTGAACAGCCATAAGATCTGAGAGCGCATTTGAAAAAGGATATAATGGAGCAATAAGGTCAAGTGTATGAAAATACAAACACCTTTCTTTGCTTTTAGTGCAAACAGGGATTATAGAAAGTCTTTTTAAAGTAATTCATTAACTATTTGAGGTACTTTGACCCCGTTTAGCTGAACATAAGGTTAGCAATGCGTCATGTTCCCATTCTCACTTCCTAAAAAATGGCAGCATGAATATCCACTGGGCAATATCCTGACGTCCTGATTGGTCAAATGTCACAGTTCTGCTCGTGGGATCACTTTTAAAACCGCCTCACTCCTCATGAGCAAAAACAGAAATGCTCCTTTAAAGTAATAAGTAACTGTAAATAATCTAAATTCTACTTTTAAACAACCCTGATACCAAACATTGTAGATTATTTACGCAGGTTTTAAGGAAATTAAAAGCACCGCCCCACTCAAAAAACACAGTGATGGATAAAGTAGGACAGGGGCTTTCTGGGGAAGTGGAGCAGTGCTTTCATGCGTAAAAACTCATAGCAGGCAGTGACTTAAAATGCTAAAGCAGCAGTGGTTTTCCTGTTTATTTTAATAGTAAGGTGTATATATAACAATTCAGCAGTATTCCATATCGTATATAACCTTCAGAAGAAACAGCAAAGGCAAGATGTGATGCATCCATCCTAACCATAAAGTTAATATGAATAACTTAAGCTATAAATGCAAACCATGTAAGTGTGCTTTACTGACAAGTTCCACAAGCATTGGCAGCTACAGTAAGTCCAGATATTCTGAAGTCACTCAGTGGTTTGGGGCTGCCTCCTTGGGTTCTGTTTGATCTTTTACCTTTAGAGTAAAAATGATGACAAATACAGATCCTCCTGGGCAACTGGAAATCACTTTTTAGCTGATTTCAACTGCTAAACTTGTGTTTAGACGTATAAAATTGATCAACAAAGCAGCTGCTGACATGTCAATAAGTATCATAGTGACTATTTGATTGTATTACACTCATATGCAGCGTCCTGTGGAGCTCTGCACTCTGCACAGCCAAACCTTTAGTTGTGTCTCAGTGGTTGTTCTATTTGCCTCCATTTGAGTCATGGTAAAGTAAAATGCAGCTACGACTGCTTTAACTATAAAACTTTATAGTATTTATATGATTTTACTTTAGAACAGTGTACGTTTGAACTATTTTCAAATCTTTCTGTGTTAGAAAACCAGACCAAATAGCTTTTTCCTTGTTACAACCTCTAAAAACTGAAAAGTCCTCATGTGGGGATTTTGCACATGTGTGTCACGCTGCGGTCAAACAGAGGTGGGGTTTCCTGGTTATTTAAATCGCAATAAATAAACTGCGTGTGTGTCTGTTCCGTTAAAAGGATCTCAAAGACTGTTATCATGGAGCAGTTTGACCTGTAGCTGCACGTCCTGATCCTGAACAACTGACTGAACTGCTGTCATCTGGAGTTTAGAGGAAAACGCTGCTGGTAAGAGACATAGAGGGGACTCCTCTTTAAATGACAGATTTACAGAATAACTTTATAATAGGTTTATCATGCATGGTATTGTTTGCCTTAGTTACACTAACATGTTTTTGATTATTTGGTTATTAATTTTTCAAGCTGAACTGTCCTTCCTATCCTCAGTGCAAAATAGAAAGAGTTGAGATGTGTAAATAATAATTATTATAATAATAATACATTTTATTTAAAAGTGCTTTCTGGACACCCAAGGACACTGTGCAGAAAAACAAAAAACAAATAAAATAGAGGCATGATAAAAGGACACAACATTCAATATAATAGGGTATATGATGGTATATTCCACTTTTAAATAGCCTAATAATTCCCACTTCAACTCAGTCTGTTATACAGCAAAGTTTCCAGAATATGTCACATAAATATGGTTTAAAAAGCTTAGTGCGGTGTAAATTGGTTAAAAATAACCTCTCCTCCTTATAATAGAACTTTAGAAAACAGACATAGAGTGGTTAGGCAAGGGGCATTATATCATCATTTTGTTTAATTGTATACTCAAATAATAAATACATTTTATTAGGGGTTTTACTGAATTACATTTTTATTTATATATAGGCTTCTGTATATAAAAAGAAAATATCAGTCCGTGGCGGTAGCCTACCGCTCCATTCATCCATGTAGGTGAAAGGGCAGCTTTTTAGGGAAAAAAAAATAAACTTTTTACTCTGCAAAAATTCTAAAACTTTGCAATTTATTAAGCTACAAACCCATTTTAATGGGATCTTAATAGTCGCTCTTATCAATGAATTTTTCCTCAGAGCAGAGGTCGACGAACAGACTAGTTCAGTATTTATTTGAGGGGGGATGCGCTGCGCTCAGATGTATTTTTATCCTCAAATTTAAGTCAGACAAGGTTATGGTAATTGCTAAATGTAAAATAATAACTTTTCTAAAGAAAAATCTCACGTTATTTTAATACAATCGGCAAAATCCGGCAAACTATTCCCACCAATAATTCCGTACCCCCCTATCCGAGAGCCAAATGCAACGATCGGTTGTTGCTCAACGTTACCGTCAGCGTCGCTCCTGCCGTGATTTCTCTTAGTCGTGGCTGACAGTCTTGTTAATCACCGAAATGGACTGAAACGACAAGTTTTCACATGGCAGGGCGGTGGAAGAACAATTCATCCGACGGTTACACGAGTGGAATAAACCCGTGTGCTCGGTTTCAACAGAACAGGTCAGACTGGAGCGCAGGAACAAACCCGATAGCTAAGTTAGCACGGCGCTATGTTTCAATGAAACTTTGGGCTAATGTGGCTAACTAACTTCAGCACGTCCGCTCGCTTCGCAGACAGAAAGAGACTTAAAACCCGTGAAAGTGGACGTTTGTCTGCTTTCTAGCAGCATTTATCGACATTCCCACAAGTGGTGTTGAAAGTAAAATTATTTATGCTTTGTCTCTGAAAGAGGAAGTTAACTTGAGGAACTTGGTGATACTAATAATAAGCTAGCAGTTTCTAGTAACCTGCTCGAGACTTTGTTTGTTTTTGGGATGCTCACTGAAAATAGTCTGTTGTTGAGTTCATGTCTTTTGCTACACCTAGAAGTCAGTAAAATATTCATTCAAAGTCGACGTAAGGGTTAAGAGTTTTTCACATGTTTCATATAATTGGTGTTGAATACACTGACTTATCTCTTTTAAGTGTGTCTCTCAGCATTTAACAAAACTGCTTCGTCTTTTCCAGAGAAAGAGGAGTGACGGTGAGCAGTGACCATGGCTGCACTATTCCACTCTCTCCTTACCACGGCTGGCCAGCTGCCATGGCTGCTTCTGACCCTGTTTACATGCTGGACAGTCCTGTGTTCTGCAGATACAAAGCAGACAAGATGGCCATTATATTCCCAGAAGCCAGTTCTTCTCGCCTGGAATGCCCCGACACAGGAGTGCGCACCACGACATGGTGTAGCTTTATCTCTGGACCAGTTTGACATTGTGGCGTCCCCCAATGAGGGCTTTGTCCGGCAGAATCTCACTATTTTCTACAAGGAGCGCCTTGGGTTGTATCCGTATTATGAGCGTGGTGGCACTGCAGTGAATGGAGGTCTTCCACAGCTCGCCAGCCTCAACCAGCACTATGAAAAGATGCCTGAAGGGCTGCAGAAATACATAAGAGAGCCAGGGGCTAAAGGCTTGGCTGTTATTGACTGGGAGGAGTGGCGTCCATTGTGGATCAGAAATTGGTACACAAAAGATATCTATAGAAATAAATCTCGTGAAATGGTGGCCAAGAAGAACCCAAAGTGGACCCCAGAACGAGTGGGAAAAGTTGCACAACAAGAGTTTGAGCTATCGGCTCAAAAATTCATGCTGGAAACTCTGAGACTCGCCAAAAGCCTGAGGCCCAATCAGCTGTGGGGCTTCTACCTTTTTCCAGACTGCTACAACCACGACTACAGGGGTGGTCTGAAAAACTACACTGGCCGCTGTCCTACTGTGGAAATGGCCCGCAACGATCAGCTCAACTGGCTGTGGATGGAGTGTACAGCGTTTTTTCCGTCCATCTACATGGGTTCTGTGCTGCGCTCTACAAAGTATGGACGCCTCTTTGTCCGAAACAGGGTGAAGGAGGCGATGCGCCTGGCCTCCGTTGGGGATGGATTAGCACGTCCTGTTTTTGTTTATACCAGACCCACGTACATCAGTCAGATGGCCCTCCTCACTGAGGTTAGTTGGCTGGAGAACAACTCATCAGGGGCCTTTATACATTCATTATCTGTTATCTGGTTACTACATTCATGGATATATTTTTGATTATATAAAGAGCATTTAATCTTTAACATGTCAAAAACGGTGACATAAAGAAAAGTGTTATAATTGTTATTTTGTCGAACAAACAGCCAAAAAACTCTAAAGAGTGTTTAGTTCAATGAGAAGAATAGCAAATCCTTACATTTGAGAAAACGAACCAGAAAATCAAAATGTCAGTTGACAAATGTATTAATTGATTCTGCTAGTTAATTTTTGAGTGCTTCAGTTTTGTTTGTGACTTTTTGTGCAACATGCAGTGTCCAAGATATTACCAGGAACTGAATGCTGCAAGCAGTTAATCCTAAATTGACTTCTACTTCTAACTTACACATATTAGTAACACATAGCTGACTTCTGCCGTAATTGTGAACCACTATTTAGTCACTGATGCCTTTCATCTACATTAATGGGAAGTGTGATTCACATAACAGCTACATGTTGGTGTGTGTTTTTTTGGGAAGCACTCAGTAAGTCACTGTTGGTGTTGAGACAAACTGAGTATATGACGGAATTATTGACTTCATTTGAACTCCAGTACACTGTTTCATTATGGCTCCCTGCTGACCTTTTAGTGTGAATCTTTCTGCAGACAGATTTGGTCTCCACCATCGGGGAGAGTGTTGCACTTGGAGCTGCAGGTGTGATCTTCTGGGGTGACACCTCCTATGCAGACAGCAGCGTAAGACCTGTACCTTCGGGGTTTTTTTCATGTCGAACAGCCTAGTGTTCTGTGGTTTGGGGTTAACATCTCCTTTTTCGTGTCCTCCAGGCCAGCTGCTCCACCGTAAATGAATATCTTCTGGGACCGCTGGGCAGGTACCTGCTGAATGTATCTACAGCAGCAGAGCAGTGCAGCCAGGCGCTGTGTAAATCCCACGGCCGCTGTCTTCGCCGAGCACCAGACAGTGATGTGTACCTGCATCTCAGCCCCTCAACACACAGGATAACTACTCAAAGTGGCCAGCTGAAGGTTACAGGAGCCCCCGGCCAAGCTGAGCTGGCTGTTTTCCGCACTCACTTCCAGTGCCAGTGCTACAGTGGGTACAGGGGTGATGGCTGTGCTCAAAAAGAAAAAGGGCAGAATAGAGCCTCCTCTGTCTTTGGGACCTGGCCTCTTTGCCTTTTACTCCCACTCGGACTTCTCACTCTGCTACACTGAGGAATCTGAGAAGCCCAAGACTATTTACTGCATCTGGCAGCCCTGCAAAGGACCGTTCAGACTTTCTCACACAAAAGCGGTAAGTTGTCGTACAACAGTGATAGTTTGACAGCAGCTGCTAGTCGGTCCTGGATTCAGAGATGTCCTAGTTTTTATCCCAGCACACAGAGACCTCGAGCAACAATATTTGTTTATAACAAACCACAGTGTGAGATCTACAACCTCAGGACCGCCTCCTGGAAATAATGTCTGTTCACTAATATTTCAACCAGTCAATAACTTTAATCACATTATGTAAAAGTGTCTCTTAAAGGCTTCTGCCGTGCTCCGTGCTGACCCTGACCTCCAGATGAGGAGATACTGAATCCAACAGGACTGCAATGTAATTGTGGGACCTTCTGCACAGAGAAAATGTTTTATTTATATAAACGATGGAACAAAAAGTGGATGGAAGGTACATTTGATGCCCAGCTGCATACAGGTTGTTGGTGCATCTGCATCTTGTTCATATGGATGTCCAAATGTAGCGCTATAGGTAGTTTGTGTTTGTTTTAGAATCAGGTTATATCGCCTTATAAATTCAATGTAAACACTACATAATGCCAGAAGTTTCTAAATGATGATAAATGCAGTCTGATTATCTTCCGCTTGTAGAAACGACGTGGCTGGACCTGCCTGTTTCAATTCAAAGTTGTGCCTTAACGGGGCTACAAAGTGCTCTTTTTCTACTGTTGCTTTTGTTTACAGATTTGATTTTTGTTTCAGCAGTGTTCATCTCAGTGCTTTATACTAATATTACCTCCATAAGGCCTACCAGTTTTTTATTAATAAAGAAAATGTTACAAAAGTGAAGCCAGGACAGTAAAACCAACAGAAAAGATGTTTGATGCTGATGGGATCCATCGTTTTACATGCGTCAAAATGTTCAATTTTAGCATACAGGAAATGTAACTTTTACATTTTTTGATTTTAAATTTCTTGATAACACACATCGTCGCAATCTAACATTTTAAATGAACAAATATGCCATTAAACTGGTCATAGCTGCTTGTTCCAGATATGTTGGAAATTTTAATACAGAAATGCCAAAGTTGTGTTTATTTATTAGCTCTAAGACTTTATAATCTGTACATCTTGGCTTCATGAATAACCAAATGTAAGGGAACCTCCTTTTGAATACATTGGGGCTTATGTTAAAAACATGAAAACTGAAAATTAAATATGTCAGCCTCAGAAATCCAGTATTGGTTTGACTCTCTACAGAACAACCAGAGTAGGTTTGTGTGTGTGTGTAGTTTGATTTGCTTGCACTGCAGCTTGTGTCAGAATTCCTGCCGGTGACACTGTGTTGAAAGCAACTACTGTAGGTACAAGTCTAGTTTATTGCCTATATATTCGCCCGACTGAAGCGAACGGAGCAGTTTCATATTTATACAGTAGCTTCTTTATTTAGTGACCAAAACTTTCAGCCGTGGGCAGGTGGTAGGTCGGTGCTGTTTTTCACAAACAGAATGGGGCAGATAGGGTTGTCGTAGAATCATAAATGTATGTTGAAAAAATTCTGCACTTTACTTCTCTGTTGAGGTGGATCTAGCATCTGTTCCCTGCACACAAAAGCCTATAAGGCGTACTGTCAGTGCTTTAAGACACAATCTGGTGTTTTATTTCCCACGTAATGTGTCAAGTTAGAGATTTGTTCCACTGTGAATCTAAAAGAAATGGGTGCTTCTACGATTGTTATACCTCCCTTGGCTTTGAACCTCCGTTATCTAAGATTTTATTTGCCGTTTTGTTGGAGCATAATGTTGTGCAGCACAGAAGTCATAAAGCATTCATCGGTTATTACTAAGAACAAAACAGGACACTAGTTTAGGTCATACAGACGTTGTCCCACAGTACTCTATTGACAAGGTAACGCAGCAGTCACCTTTTACTGTTCAGTATTAACACATTTGTATTTTACAGCTGTGAAAGTGGAACCATACTGTTGTTTCTGCAGCTTTACCCACTTTAGATCAAGTGTTGTTAACATGTACTGCCAACCATTTCCAAAGGCAAACCGTGATGTCAGACATTTTAATGTTTTGTTCAACTTTTAGCGGTCGTCTTGTTTCATGACCTTCACAACCGTACGAATACGAACTGATGAGTAGTTCTGCAGTTATGAAGTAGTTAGTTTCATAGTTAGTGACTAT